AGGTAGAAGCATGATCTGTCCAGGCGATCATTATTATCTTTTTCAAGATAAAGATTCAAGCCCTCATAGGAATATCGAGCCGTCAAATTGCATATTGCTGTTCCTGCAGAATGGGGCGATTCACCTTAGTGTCCACCACCATATCTACTGATCAGCGTGCATCCATAAGGATTTTGATGTCTCAGTTCGGCATATCGCCGGTTACCGTTTGCAGTTGTCTATAGGAATCTTCCTTCATCTTATGTTCCGAGTTGTTTGTAGGTGAGCAGGATTCAATAATTGTAACCTTATTTCATTTTGAGTTGAATTTTGCCATCATAATCCTGGAGGAGACTAGATGCCACTGCCTCAGAGCTTTGGCTGTTGGTGACAACGTAATAACCACCCAATGAGTGTGTTCGTGATTGTCGTCTGGGTTGCCGCAATAGATTACCGACTCTTCAGTTGACCATTTTAATAGCCCATATCCACTCCATTCGCTCTCGCAAATTTCGACCACTTCCATACCATATTTTATCATTACTTTGGCTGCCTAGGCAGTCTTTCTAGCCTCGCAAACTGTTCAGAAACTGTTTGTCCACATTCTTATTAATGTTCTCATCGAGAGAGTGCACGTCAGCTGACTGGAAACCTTAGGTCTTTCACAAGACCACGTCATTTCTCCTCTCCGATTCCAAAGAACAATAAGTTTGATGTTTGTATAGTTTGTGTATCTATTATTTCTATCGTATGTTTGTGTAAAAGTTTGGTTTGAGTTCTGGGCAACGCTACTAGCAGCAGATCAAACGCTCCTCCTACAACCCTATATGGGGCAGACAAAAAACTAGCGAGAAATGCAATTCTTTGTTAAGTAGTGTACAAAAATTTTATTTACACACCTTTTGTCCGGAAAGACCACGGACCACACTTATCGTGTGGGAGCTGATGTTACTACCCAACTGCTTAGGTTGAAGTATGTGCGGTTGGATACGAACGTGTGCCTCATTAGCTGAATGCCAAGTGCTTAGACCGATGAAACACAATCCTATGGATGGCTATGTGTCCGTTGGCAAGCTCACAATCTCATCTACCCTATGCCGTGTACTCGACTGATGTAGAGAATCCACAAACTAGCCTTCGAATGCTGCAGCCTGTTTCTAAATACGAACGTAAATCGGACTACGAAGCACTAGGTAGAGACCCAGCAACACTAGTCAGTCAGTTCTGGTGAATTATCCACGATCAGTCTAAATATTAATGCCAGAACTATAGTCTCGGCAGTTGATTATTTGCACGAAAACGAATACATACATACGTATACCGCAGTCTAAGTAACTAGAGCTTCTTTACAAACTATAAAGTTGCATCACATAGGTCCAGCTCGGCAAGTTGATATCTATTTCCTCTTAGAAGACTAACACAAAGCATGGTTAGTGATAATTCAATGTGTTTAAAAGATGAAAGGATTGTTTTCCAACAAAAAATTAAAAAAATTTACAGGTGTAGTGCAATTAAGAAAAATGAAACGTCATAAAAGAAAGCAGTGGATGCATGGATGGTTCGTTAAAGGAGCAAATATAAGCAGTATAGCAATTAGAAATGTTACATATTGGGTTCTGTTCCCTGCAGTTCTCAGCCGATTGTATCAAAGTGCCCGCAGGGATAATTCAGCCGAAGGTTTCAGTTTCCTGGACATGAATGTGCTTTCCTGAATCTTATCTCGTAGATTTAACAGCATTACTCAGCAGTTAGGCAGTTTCCTGACTTACAAATAGGCGTTCGCGCGTGGTGTTCAGTCGTTCGAACAACTTGAGATGGGGCTAACACTTACTCGGACTTGTTGCTTAAGCTCAAAGAGAAACTTGGTCGCTTCAACCGGAAAATCCCTCACCTGACATAGAACAGTGGAGAATTCCCAGGGACGGACTTGCGAAGTCAGCGTTTTTAACAGCGTTTCGATACTATATGTCAACACTCTTTTCTAAATGAGTATTTTCAGTGCACCTAAGCCGATGTAATCATCATAAGTGGTCAACGCCAGCTTATTTACAACGTCCACCACCCGACAAATTAGGAGCAGTTAGGGCACAATTAGGCCTTTGGTGTGTTTGGGAAAAATCATATATTCTAACGGTCCATGAAGTTTACTCCTGTATGTGGTGTCTAAAACCGGCAGCAACTAGCACCTTCTAGAAACCTATGCCCTCCGAATAGTGCCTAAACAGTAGCTTACGCTGCATGACTTTTCAGTTACACCCAGAAGGAAAACTGTAAATTTTTGAAGTTATTAAGGCCCGAAAATACCATTAGGTTAGGGCTAAGGAAGAAAATATTAAAGTACAGACATAAAGGTACCTTTCGAATTATTCCAATTTTTGTGCGCGTACCACAAAGTCAAGGGAGTCATAATTTCCTAGCGACAGCCGGAGAAGCTCTCATTCGCACCAAGAATGTGTTATGGTGTCTCAAATAAATCTAAAAGTATATTTTATATCATGTGCGGATGTGTTACTGAGACACATAAGAGCGATGATGCATTTAGAAGTGAATGGTTAAGTTACTCTTCTTGCTTTTTTCTCAAAGAAACCTGGAACTGCTCTAGTGCGCAACTGAACTTTTGATGGGTTATTGTTAGCTACACTCTAATAGTCAAAGGCCTTATCTATTTCTTAAAATAACATGATATCACTATCCTCATGGGTGACAAACAGCTGTGGAATCCCTTTAGCACTTCGTGAGCAGGGCACTCCCCAAAGAGGCGATGTATTTTTATTTATTTTTTAATTTTTTATTTTGATTTACAGCTTGATTCCACACCGTATTTTCAGTACAAGTGTGGAATTTTCAGCATGGATATCGGTAGCCCAAATTCAGGCCAACCATAGATATCGGGTGTGCGCCGGCAGGGGATCGAACCCCGGACCATGTGCATGGTCGGCGAGAGTCCTAACCACTGTGCAACTGTAACTAGGTTATAGCTGTGGTTTCGCAATAGATACCGCGTTCATTAAGGGCAATGAAAGTGTTGTTGCTCAGCCACTTCATTTGCTCAGAGGTGAGTCAGCATACGTGGCAGACATCAATCTCAGCAGTGTCGTCAAACTGACCCAGACCTCTCAGCTATTGGAACAGAATCAGCATTATTACTGAGAAATTGCCTGAGAAATGCTTAGTGTCATGACATGAATTCATACGGCCACGTCGTCACAAATTCCGGGCAATTCTACCTGCCTGATATATGTGTTCAACACATTCTCACAGGCACCGCAGGTCTGCTGCCGTCATCACCTGCACTGTTTTTCTGGTTTATTGGTGTGGAATCGTGGTGCACCACTTTCATTTAAGTTAACTGAAAGTTTTAGAGTGCCAGTTATCCTAAATTCGAACGATATTCACATGACTTTGCACCGTCTATCAAAGAATGATCCAGTGAAAAGATTTGGCAGACAACAATGTGATAAATCTAAATGGACTGAGCGCCATCCTTTGATGGTGCTTGGTATTCAATCATTTTCAAAGGAATGCTTGAGAAGTAGACTAGCTCAACTAGTTTATAGTTCCGCATGCGCCTGACCTAGAGAGTTGTCTCTTATACCTAATAAAGCATATGAAATTGTTTCGGCATAGATGAGTCTGTAAGTGCCCGGTTTTATCCTCAGGTGAGTTTGCCTGTCGCACTTACAAAAAGACTAACTTCTTTTGCCTAGGTCTTAATCAGCACTCTGCCTATCCTGCGAGTACTGAGAAAAGAGTAAATACAGAAAATAAAGGACTCACTACTTGCCTGTAACCAAACATATATTTATAACGAATGTGATTATAACTCAATAATATAAAAACAGGTTTACCACTTATCTATACCCGTAGGAGTAGGAAGCTGGAGGAGTATGCTTGTAGGAGAGTACAGCGAGGGAGAAAGCGTATAAGTGCCAAAATGTACAAGAAGCGTAGTGCAGCACGCGAAGCGAAGTGGCGAAGTGGAGTAGCACCAAAAATTGGATGAGTGAGTTAAAACAAAAGTTCAATGTACACTACAGGTTATCCCCCCCTTAGAAGGTTGGTGGGGAAACAAACAACCTTCGATCCAAGAACATAAGCGATATGCAGTAGGAGATTTGCATAATAAAAGGAAGGAAAAGAAGCGGAGAAAGAAAAATTTTTTATAAAATATAGAGCGAAACGAAAAAAAGGTTGGGGGGAAGGATGAATGATATGTACATGATGTATGCAGTAAATCGGAATATGAAAGGAAAGACGCTGGTTATCTTAGTGTGGTTGGACAGAGTTTCAAGTTATCAATTTTTTTGTAATAATTTTCTTACATGTTATACATTCTTTTTTTCATTGTTTTTTTAACGATTTTTTTACATATCTACATATTTTGATCTCTGTATAAGTAGAGGCTACGAACCGCACACATTGTGTCGGGGGTTGATGATATCACCCCTGTGCTCAGGCTGAGACAGGAGTGTGACTCATTAGGTCTAAGTTTCGTCTTAACCCAATGCTTCACAATTATACTTTATCAGCGAGCATCCATCAACACTAAGGACAATAAATATACCAGCGTAGGAGAGGAACAAAGCGAAAAAAAGAAAAATGGAAGGGTATGTAGAAATTCGCAAAATCGATTTTTATAAAAAAAGTATATACATATGTCGCGAAAACTGGGGGTTCGGAAGCGCAGAAATGTGGGGAAAATAGCAAGGCTACTCCTGGTTGAATTAAAATAAATGCAAGTTTCAGCAACACGGCAAGGAAAGTGGTTACAGGGCATGTGGTAAAGGAAAAAAGAGTTAGAAGAGGGTAGACATTTACATTTAGGTAAAAGCAAATGGCTAGCCGAAAAAATAAAGAACATGGCGAAAAATATTTACAGTCAAAGCTTGCAAAAAGAATTTAACCACACTAGAGTGACAAATTGCTACAGTAATGAACAGGAAAAAGTCTGACAGTTAAGATTGAGTAAAGCGACAATGGATTCTCTCTGCTTTTTCTTTTTTTGATATTTTTTATCTATTTTATGATATATATACATATTGTTCTGCTCCAATTCCATAAAGTAACTGTCGAACCGTAGAAATGGATAAAGATACAGGTACTGTGGACGGAGTAGTAGCAGCAGCAGAAGTTGTCGTACTGGCAGTAAAAGAACTTGGTAATGGTATTGTTGAAATATTTGAGCTACTTTTGTTGTAGATATTATTGTTATTATTATTACTATTACAATTTATTGAATCTTGATAACTTTTAGACTTTGATGAACTGGATGTTGAATTGACAAGACTATTGGCTGTTGTTGTTATTGTTGTTGTTGACGGTGTTAATGAAACAGCCGGTGTAGGTATAATCTTAAATTTATTCAATGAAATTTTGGGATTGAATACAATTTTTGGCATGCTTAACGAGGATGAAGACGACGATAACGGTGTAGAGGGAAGATTGACACTGGAATTCGAAAGTGGATTAGTTGTTTGAATACGTGACAGTGACACTAAATTAGCCGATGTAGTAGTTGTTTTTGTTGCTATTGTCGATGTCATAGAGGGTAGATTAGCTTGTCTTGTTCAATGTACACTACAAGTCCACCAAATGCTTCAGTTTAATGCAAGCGCATCCCGACAATCTCACAGCGCCGACAGGCAAGTGGTCACTTAGAATTTCACGAAGTTTCTTCTATTAGAAGTGGAGATATTAGGAAAGGACTTACTATTATTGCAAATTCTTTCTAGTAATTAGCTAAGCAGATGGATCTGTCACAGTAAACATTGTTAGGAGGAATAAAAAGTCTATGTAGATCGAATAAAATCAGCATTTACCAATCGCGAATGTGAAGCCATATCATCAATTTCGGCGACAAACACTGCGGTAGCCAATACGAGTGCAGTCATTCAGGTGCCTCTTATTCCCATGCATCTGAATAGAAACGCAATTACCGATGGTTTTGCTTACCAAATCTCTGCACCTATCTCAGTATGAGTACTGTCATCACTGGTTCATTATTATATGTTTCGTATATAATCTGTTTCTGTCAGTCATTTTTTCTTGTTCGTGTTTAATATATATTTATTCCTATCTATGTAGGACACACCAGTTGTACAGGCATGGATAAGTATTATCTAACTTACATAAATTTGATTTATGGTGAAATTACATGGTCTCTGTCCTCTCTGACATTAGTTTGTGAATACGATCTGCTAACTAGTCATTCAATGGAGCGCACTAAGAAATATAGAGATATATTCTTCGCATTAACAAAAACCCAAATATGAGTTAGATGGATTACAAATATTTGGGAAAAGACAGAGCTTGAAGTCAATTCCTACATATAACTTTGGTGTGTGCTGCATCGTATCCTTTTCTTGATTTATATTTAAATTGGGTATTAATTTGAAATGAGTGATTTATTTGTATGATTTTGTCAGCATTTTTTATCGTATGTAACACCAGATGTGAATTAAACTGAATGCACATTAATATTGGTTATTGCCACGCAGATTTGTTTTACTGCACCCACGTCAGCCAGAGCCTGCCATTTTTCACTCCATGGTTGGTCCGCAAGAGTAAGTCTATTAGCACGTAGAAAGGTATATGTAAGCCATTTTAGATCATTGACAGTGCTTGTATAGAATGCTGTACAGCGTCTTGTTATGATGACAGTGGATATTCCGAGGATGCTGAGTCATTACTAGCCAAATCTTGAGGGATGATATATGAATATGTGGTTTCGATTGTTTCTCAGCTCCAGTCTAAATGTAGATCTATACAACTTCTACTACAAGGCAAATAGAAGAAAAGGGGCAAGCAGCAAAGTATGAGAGAGCAAAGAAAAAGTAATTGTTTATTTCTGCCACCTTAGTGTTTGTACTCATATGTGTATATTCGTTGTACATTCTGTTATTAGACATACAGACTTACTTCTACTTAGTCTTCTTATGCATCTTATGTGGCTAGTTTATTTGTCATTTATAGAGTAATTAGGGCATTTGTGAGCGTTTATTAGGTACAGCAGTAAACTAATAATTGATTCGTCCTAGGAATAAACAGTTTATTAATGTAATCAGTAGAATGAAACAGTCTGTACAGAGAGCGTTTGAATCTTGCAGTTTCTGACTTCTAGGGACAGGTTGTTCCGTATTTTGAAACACATGAGTGTGAAGAAGTTTTCGCGGAGTGTTTCCTTAAAGGCTTTTATTGTCACTGTGCAAGTTTGGTCACGCAGATCGTAAGAGCCTTCCTGTGAGAGTTGTATGTCCTTATTATATGAGAATGATATTTTGTGTAGGACCTTATAGAAGAATACTAGGTTTGTAATAAGTCGAATTGTCCAAAGTGGGGCAAGATTTCGAATCATGCACCGTGAGTTGTAGTCTTTCTTACAGTCGTACCCAAGTAGTTTGGACGTGAAATATCGTTGGATACTTTCCATCCTTAGCTTGTCACGTGTGCGAAGGCTGCTAATAATAAATGGACAGTATTCTAGTAGTGGCCTCACACAGGTTTTGTACAGAATTAGCTTGGCTTCATTGTCGTGAAAGTTCCCGAGTATGCATCCTAAGAGCATCCTCGACTTTCAAGTCTGTGATGCCACTTGCTCGGAAAATGTTAGGCTACTCGAGTACCTCAGACCTAAGTCAGCGACACTTTTGGAGTCTGGTTAGGTTAGCCGATTGAAGCGTTAATTTCATGTCGATTAAGGTTGCGCCGAAGCAGATACAACCACATTTGTTCCGGTTAAATTGTAGATTCCATAAAGGCGACCAAGCAGTCACTTTATCTAATTCTCTCTGCATAACATTCTGGAAGTACCCTAGGTCATCACATTGGAATGTACAAGCTACTTCTAGGTCATCTGCAAAGATGAATGGTTTCCCATGAGAGAAGCAAGCGCATATGCCGTTGATATATAGTGTAAATAGGAGGGGTTCAATGATACTACCTTGCACTAAAACAGAGGTGATTGGGCTCAGTTACAGACCCGAGTTTCAATATTTGGGACCTCTTGTTAACGAATGATTTAAGCCATCCTAATAGTGGGTCACGTATTCCTAAGGAGTTCAGCTTATGTATTAGCAGTAAATGGTTGACACGGCCAATTGCTTTAGAGATGTCAAAGTAGATGACAAGTACTAGTTGTCGTCTGTCACGACTGCTGGTCACAAAATTAAAGAAGTCTAAGTGGCATGTTAAACAAGATCTGGATTTTAGGAATCCATGTTGGTTCGGACTTATAATGCTGCAGCTAAGCATATGCTTGACTAGGTTGTCTTTAATTAGTCTCTCCATAATCCTAGATGCGATAGGTGTGATATTGATCGGCCTGTAGTTGTTGACCCCTGTTTCCTAGCCACATTTGTGTATATGTGTAATAAATGTTGCTTTCCATACATCAGGGAATTTTGGGTTGCTAAGGACATTGTGAAGATTTTAAACAGTAATAAAGGAATGTCAGGGACACCATATTTATAAAATTAGGATGATATACCATCAGTACCAAAACCTTTTGAGGTTTTAAGGTTTCTTATAGTTTGATTAATGTTAGCATAGTTGAATTCAACAGTGCTAATTTGGTTTGATATGAGTAGAGATGGAGTTTGTTCCATATTAGCAGTAGTGTGAAAATCGAGTAACTTGGCTGAGGGCTTAAGGTAGTTACCTGCAAAAGTTTTGTTGAATAACTTACACATATCTACAGAATTAGTGCATAGTCTACCTTTGTCTATAAGGAGAGAAATGCTGTGGTTTTTGTAGTTCATTCGCTTCTTCAAGATTTCTGTGAGAGCATACACTCTAGGAGGATTGACTATTGCGGTGTGTTCTTCGTTTCTCAAAAGCAAATCTCGAGCTCGTGAGACGGAGCTAAGAGTGATAAGCATTAAACCTAGTGTGCCAAAGTCGTGGTGTTTGAAGTAACTTGTTGAAAGTCTCTTCCGTTTCGTACGATCCTTTGGTTTTATAAGTGACTTTATATGTGGGGAAAGCTTAAGTGTCTGGAGTGGAATGACAGTATCTAAGCATGTGTTTGAGTTCTGGTAGATATTCAGAGCTCTCGAGATGTCACAAGTAGTGAAGTATTCGCCCCATTCAGAGGATCTTAGCATTGAATCTAAGAAAGCCCAGTTTGCCTTACAATAGTTACTATAAATTATGTGTTGTGAAGTGGAGGTATAAGCTGTGTTTCTACTCAGTGGAAGTGGCAGTGCACACATCACCATTTTGTGGTCACTACCTGAAAGCTTAGAGCCCACTAAGATTGAGAGGGGACTTATATCGTGACAGAATGTTAAGTCCAGTGCGTTGTCACTTCTTGTGGGGATAGTGTGAGTTTGTTTCCAGCCGAAAATGTCCAGTTTACCTAAGAGCTTGTCATATTTAGTTGGGCCCGTCAATAAATCCCATTTGATTTCGGGTAGGTTGAAGTCCCCACATATGATCTTATTCTCGTATGAAAGAGTGGATACTTCATTGTAATAACATATATTTATTCCTTGTTATGCAGGAACATACCAATTGTACAGGCATGGATAAATCAATATATAAAGTACACATATTTCGATGTATGCTAAATTTACAGTTTGGTTGTTCTTTCTGACTTTAGAGTCAGTCGGAACGGTCTGCTAAATAGTCTGTTTGTGTAACACATGAAAAGATATAGAAATATTGTCTTCGCATTAACAAAAAACTCAGAAATCAGATGAATGTAGTACAAACATCTGGGAAAAATAAAGCTTGAAGTCAATTCTCCTATATGACTTTGTTGTGAACAGCATCCTTGAGTTAAAGTTTATTGATGTATTCTGTTGAGATCAGTGATATATTTATTCCATTTTTTAAGCAGTCTTATCGTAGTTTTATAACACGGAAGAAATTTGATCGTGGATACGAAAACTAGATAAGGTCGTGTTGGATTGTTTTACTGCATCAAATAGCGCCGAGGTCGATTCCAGAACTCTCCATTGACACCATTTGTGTCGGTATGACACACTGTACACGTAAGTTGAGAAAGACATTGAAAACTGTTTGAAAACCAGTTGCTTTTTTATTTCAGTTCATGAATACTCCTTGTACAGAATGTTGGCCAGCGTCTTCAAGTGGTAGCACGGGATTGTTCATGCAGTTAGAGTGGTTAAGAGGTAAATGGTCTGCAGTCCAGATTCATTTCAGTTTAAATGTGAAGTTGTTCGACCTCGACCAGAAGGTAAACAGAAGAGTAAGGTCAGCAGCAGAGTACCAGAAAGAGAAAGTATGTGAACATGAAAAGAACATTAATGTTTTATGTATATATAAATGCTTATAAATGTATGTCACCGTATAGTAAACATTATCTATATTCTAGTTGTGTACTTGCTCCAATACATTTAAATGTTGTGTCCCGTAATCACTAAAGGCGCCAGGTGCTCTGTAGATACATCCTATTAATATTGTAGCACTTTTGAAGTGTTCGTTGACCCATACGGTGTCGTGCATGTCATTGAGTTCCCTATTTTCTAGCTGTAATACAGTAAGTGTGTTCACGAAGTGCATTAGGCAGCCTCCCTCCTTA